AGAAAGAGATAGATAAAAGAGGAGAGAGAGCGGACAAAAAATATAAAGGTGTGGGTCTCACCTCTTTGTGAGAATGAAATGATATAAGTTATGTCATTTAAAATGACAAACACTTTTCTTATACAAGTAAGACACTAGTAAATGAAAAAGACTAATTATGTATAACTTGTTTAAAATTCCGGCCCGGCATGGACTCGACCAAGGTTAAAGATCACGGGGTCACGGGTTCAACCAGGGGTCACAGGATCACTATATGATGACCCTGCATTATATATTAAAAAATGGGAAAAGTGTTTGTCATTTTAAATGACAGAACACTCTGTCCTTTTAAGAGAGAGACAGACACAGAAAAACAATTTTTTTTAAAATTTTAAATTAAAAAAAATCACCCACTTTCTCTCTCCCATGATTTTCATTTTTCTGTGTTCATCTCTCTCTTAAAATGACATAACTTATGTCATTTAAAATGACAAACACCAAACCCTTAAAAAATATAAATATATATTTTATATAAAAATATTAAAAAACAAACCACCAATCATTAAAGATTCAAAATATATTTAACATAATTCACCAATTACAACCACAAGTCAATATTACACAACCTAATTAAAGTATCAAGATACAAAGTACAAAACACATATTCTAATGGGGTCACTACGCTGACCCGGTTCTGCCTCTTTTGAGAAGGTCCATGACAAAGGAAAATTTATAGAAGTAAGAATGAGTTTTTGTTTTTCATCGATGACAGTAAGGATTTCATTTGAATGGGTAAAATTCTTATCTTTTCTAGAAGATTCACGGCAGCGAGGTGAAGATTGAAGACGTCTAGGTCCCTGGAAGAGAAGAGAACGATTAGATTTAGGTTTGCAATCATTTTTTTAATAAAACGATGTTGTTTCATTGATTATTTTTTGAGTAAAGACCCAAATTGGTCCCTGACAAAAAACTCGGTGCCCAAATTAGTCCCTCACAAAAATAAACTCGTTAGATAGTCCCCAACAAAGTGAAACAGGACCCACGTTAGTCCTTCTGTCAATCCAAAACTCACGGTGTCAATGACGGTGATGACGTGTCACGTTAAGTGACATGCTGGAGGCCACGTGGGTTGAGGAACGACGTCGTTTTGAGAGACTCATCCACGTTGGTCAGTATGGTCCCTAACAGTTTTAACAAAGGGGACCAGTATGGTCCCTAACATTTGTATCGGGGTCCTTTTTAGTCCCTGCTAAAGTTCTGTTAACACCAGTGCCACCATTTGCTATTAACACACCAGCAATTAATGTCATTTCCCCTTGTACATGCTGATATTAGGCATGCATAACACAATCAACTTCTGCATAATTCACTCCATGGCATTCTTAGTTTAGTCTTTATATATTGTTTCCATTCCTTTTTTTATCTCCATCGAGTTTATACAACATTTTGTGCCAATAAACATAACTTCAAATACATAAGTCAAGCTACATATATTGCATGAACAACAATTCATTACACAAGCAAATCTCAACAGAACAACATTTTAAATTTCACTCTAGCCTACTTGCAAGATATATACATACTAGAAACACAACAATAATGGATCCAGCAAACACCCTAGCACACATACACACATGCATCATTTCCTTCTCAACACCCTGGCAAACACACATACACACATACACACCAGCAAACACCCTAGCACACATACACACATACACACATGCATCATTTCCTTCTCAACACATGCACACATATACACACATAACTTCAAATACATAAGTCATGCTACATACATATACACATATACATATATACACAAACACCCTAGCAGATATACACATACACAACTTTTTTTACTCCAGCAAGTGTTGAGAAGGAAATGATGTGTTGGGGTTGTTTGGGTTCTGAATGCCCTCCAACTACTACTGCACAATATGTTGTGTTGTACTTTGGTCTCTACGTTATTGCACTTAGAACCGGTGGTGTAAAAGCATATGTGTCACCTTTTGGGGCAGATCAGTTTGATGATACTGATCCCAAGGAAAGGGTTAAGAAGGGATCCTTTTTCAACTGGTATTACTTTTCTATCGACTTAGGTGCCGTTGTATCAAGCAACTTAATTGTATGGATTCAAGACAATGCAGGATGGGGTCTTGGATTTGGTATTCCTGCTTTAATTATGGGATTATCTATTGGAAGTTTCTGTTTAGGAACACCTCTATATATGCTAGAGTGTTTATGTATATGTGTATATGTGTATATGTGTATATGTATGTAGCATGACTTATGTATTTGAAGTTATGTGTGTATATGTGTGCATGTGTTGAGAAGGAAATGATGCATGTGTGTATGTGTGTATGTGTGCTAGGGTGTTTGTTGGTGTGTATGTGTGTATGGGTGTTTGCTAGGGTGTTGAGAAGGAAATGATGCATGTGTGTATCTGTGCTAGGGTGTTTGCTGAATCCATTATTGTTGTGTTTCTAGTATGTATATATCTTGCAAGTAGGCTGAAGTAAAATTTAAAATGTGGTTATGTTGAGATTTGCTGGTGTAATGAATTGTTGTTCATGCAATGTATGTAGCATGACTTACGTATTTCAAGTTATGTTTATTGGCACAAAATGTTATATAAACTCGATGGAGATAAAAAAAGGAATGGAAACAGTATATAAAGACAAATCTAAGAATGTCATGGTGTGAATTATGCAGAAGTTGATTGTGTTATGCATGACTAATATCAGCATGTACAAGGGGAAATGACATTAATTGCTGGTGTGTTAATAGCAAATGGTGATACTGGTGTTAACAGAACTTTAGCAGGGACTAAAAAGGACCCCGGTAAAAATGTTAGGGACCATACTGGTCCCCTTTGTTAAAACTGTTAGGGACCATACTGACCAACGTGGATGAGTCTCTCAAAACGACGTCGTTCCTCAACCCACGTGGCCTCCAGCATGTCACTTAACGTGACACGTCATCACCGTCATTGACACCGTGAGTTTTGGATTGACAGAAGGACTAACGTGGGTCCTGTTTCACTTTGTTGGGGACTATCTAACGAGTTTATTTTTGTGAGGGACTAATTTGGGCACCGAGTTTTTTGTCAGGGACCAATTCGGGTCTTTACTCTTATTTTTTAAAAAAAACAAACATGTAGTGACCCCTTTGACCCTTCTGACCTGGGACTCACTGAAATCCGGCCGAGTTTTGAGGGTCGGAGGAATCGATATGCATATAGAGTTCAATTTGTGACCCTAACCCTCAGAGGAGAGGGGTCAAGGTTGACCCGAGTCAACAAGGGTGGGGTAAAATTAGGGGTGTTCGCGGTCTGGATTGGATCGGTTTTGGAAACAAAAATCATCCGATCAAATCCCTTCGGTTTGATCATATAATCACCCATTCGGTTTGATTTTTTTTTCAAATCTGATCCGATCCAATCCAAACTTTTTCGGTTTGGATTGGATCGGTTTTCAGTTTTTTGAAAATCTTAAAATTATTTCATGATTATTATACAAATAACATCTTTTGTATATATTGGCTTTGTAAATTATTATTTTTTAAATACAAAAGCATTAGTAAACTATAATATAGTTTTTTTTTTTTTGCAATAAGATATGAAGCTCTACAAAGATAAAATTTTATTGATGAGATGTGACTAGATTTTTTCTTGGGTTTAGTTGATACCTAATGGGTTTTGGGTTTAGAAATTTTTGGGCTATGATTGGAGAAAGACCCAAGTAAGTAGAGGAGAGTTAATATATTGGATCGGTTTGGATTGGATCGGTTTTCATCAATTCATCCAAAAACTAATCTAATCCAATTAAAATTTGCGATTTTTTTTCGGTTTTCGATTTTTCGATTTTCGATTTATTCGGTTTTCGTTTTTTCGGTTCGGTCACTGCGGTTTGAATCGGTTTAGATCGATTGATGAACAGATAAAATTGTGTATAACTCACAACTTGAATTCCATGATTTTGGCCCTTGACGAGGTACGTAAAACCGCCAGCAACTACTACAGTAGTCGTTGGAGCAATAGCTGATACCCAAAAGAGTTTTGGATTCCTATTCCTCTAAAAGATTGTTTTGAAAATTCAGAGAAACCCATTAGAATAACTTTGATGCATATATTAATTTTTATTTTTTTGGTAAATTGATGCATATATTAATTTAACAAAGGGTAAAAGATTTCTTAGGATAAGCCCAGAATGATATCGTTTTGAAGTGAAAATTAAGGTATTTTTGTAATTATAATATATTGTAGGATTATATTAGTCTGTATTATTATAATTTTTTTAATCTTATAACCTCAAAATAATATCATTTTAAAGTCATTTTAAATTCATTGAAGATAACTTTATCCGGAGAAGATATACTTTTTCCTTTAACAAATACCATAGCTTTGTGAAATATGTTGCTACATCTTCTATGTCATTAACTTGATTTTTCTTTTAGTACTCGTGCCATAATTTTATTCATAGATTGCGGACTTCAAAATCCTAATGGTCCACAAGTTTCAGTGGTGCATATGATGTTAAATGACACATATACGAGGTTTACCACTAGTTGAGTCATAACATAAGAATTCAATTCTAATGCAACATGAGAAAATTAAATTCTTTTAATGGATTTGATGTTGTTTTAAAGAATATATAGTTAAATCATTTTAGTAAAAAAAAAAATTATTATTATTTTAGAAGAAAGAAAGACACAAAGTCACAAACAATAAAAACTATGAGAAAAAAATGAGTGATTTTTTAATTTAAATTTTAAATAAAAAATATTAATTTTTACCTTTCCCTCACTTAAAATTTTAAATCTTTTAAAAAGAAAAAAAAAATCACTTAAATTAATTATTGATTACATTTACAATTTTTTTAAGTGCAGTGTTGGGCCAGGCCTTATTGTTTATTACACCAGGTAGGAAGCATGGCAGGCCGCAATTAGGAGCGGCGAATGGGGTATTTTAGCAATCTCAAAAACCCTAATTGGTGGGTATATATATAAGCGTACCAGTTTCTGTTTGAAACCCTAATCTTGAAATTTTGAATCGGACGAGAATGGCGACACCAGCATTGGAGCAGGTTCAATGTTTCGGTCGCAAGAAGACGGCAGTTGCAGTGACATACTGCAAGCGAGGTCGTGGTCTGATCAAGATCAACGGCTGTCCAATCGAGCTAGTTGAACCGGAGATCCTCCGGTTCAAGGCGTTCGAGCCGATTCTCCTCCTCGGGAGGCACCGGTTCGCCGGCGTGGACATGCGGATCCGCGTGAAGGGAGGAGGACACACCTCGCAGATCTACGCCATCCGTCAGAGCATAGCGAAGGCACTGGTTGCATTCTACCAAAAGTACGTGGATGAGCAGAGCAAGAAGGAGATCAAGGATATCCTCGTCAGGTACGACCGCACACTCCTTGTGGCTGATCCCAGGCGCTGTGAGCCCAAGAAGTTCGGTGGTCGTGGTGCTCGTGCTAGGTTTCAGAAGTCTTATCGTTAATTTCGTTTCTCTTGTCTCAGTTTTGGTTTCATCTATTTAGCTGCGCGCTCGTTTGTTATTCAGATTTTGAATACAATTTTATAAAATTGCTCAGTTAATTATCTTTTTGTTAATTTAAACTATTATATCTGGATTTGAATCAGTTTGCGTGTTTGATGATTGGGGGATTAAGCAATCCGTATAATGTGTGTTTGGATCTCGTTCTTGCTTCTTTAAATGTTGTCATGTTGTTTGTGCTAGTGGTTCCTTTTTTTCAAATCAGGGATGTTAGGTTATATTATTATGGCTTGAATGGATTGAGTTCCTAACTTCCTTTGGTTAATTATGTTTTAATTCAATTACATTACAATTTGGACACGGGGCTGGTGTTTCTCTGCATATGAATGATTATTTGCTATCAGCGGTTGTGTATTCTTTTGGCTTTTGGCTATGTAAAATGGGTAGCTCAGCTGCCGGCTGAGTTCCCAGCGATTGCTTGGTGCAGGGGATCAAACCTTGCCTCAAGCAGTTTCTTAGAAAATCTTTGGGGTAAGAGGATAAGCCAAAAATTCTTAAATTCTTAGTGCACTCACCCTTACAATAAGGGGCTAGCCCAAACGGGCCGTACCCGAGGGCATGGGTTGAACGGGGATACTTCTTGCCAATGTACCAAAAAAAAAAAGTGTATATACATGAACGAATAAATCATCTCACGAAATCCGCAACACCCCCTTAAACATTAAACATGCCGAACTTGTTACGCGAGAAATCCTAGCCAATGTGTGTCTATAGTTTATCTGTTAATGCCAACAGTTTTGGATGCCCTTCCTCGTCTGCCACCTTCTCCGCATGTTTCATTTCGAGAACGCAGTTCTGTATCTACCTTGGTGAAAGCCCAATTCCCTTGCAAAGATCCCCAAAGTCCAAAGGTCTGCATGATAATTGATCAAGAATTTGGGTTGAACCCCGCCAAGAACTAACAGCATCTCTAATCGCTTCTCCACTGTATCGTTGGCTCCATCTAGAATATACACATCCGAATTCATCTCTACCCAGCCAGTTGGAGGGAACTGCTAATATATTATTAACTGTCTACCTCGTAACCCTCATCTCTGTTTACTGATTCTCATTCCTGTGTTGCCATAGTTGGGGTGTATAGCATTCCCCTCCCACCTATTCAATCAGTTTCTGTGTCTATGAATTTTGAAATCAAGTGTTTATTCAGTTATAACAACAAAATTTATCAATTCCGGGTAATTGGCCATATTGTTTTCGATGGAACAAATTGGGCTAAAACGGGTTTCCGTGATATTAAATGCATTTCTAAGGTTTGAATAGCGAAATTATGCATATATCCGTTTGTTCAACAACGCCAATCCCCTCACAAAATGAGTGGTCTTTTCTCCTACTCTGTTAAGGGAGCTGGAATGTTTGTTTTCATTTCAAATTAATTAATGCATTCGCCTTTATTGTTCTGTATATTTTTCATATAACGCAGCACGGAAGTTTAAACGAGATGTAAACACTTTTTCCATGAACTAAACATAAGAATGATTTAAATATGGAAAAAATATTTCTCCGGTCAAAGTTATCTCAGTGAACTCAAAATAATGTCATTTTAGATTATAAAATTAAAAAATTATAACAATAAAGATTAATATAATCCTGCAATATATTAGAATTATCAAAATACTTTGATTTTTGTCCTAAAATTATCGATAATAACTTATCTCCATTGACAGGAGAAATTATATTTTTAGGATAAATAAAGGATTTTGTATTTATATTTTTAGGATAAATAAAGGATTTAGTGTTTGTTATTTTAAATGACATAATTTTGTGTCATTTTTAATGAAATTACGTCGTTTTAGTGTGTTTTATCATTTTCTCTAATTTATAAAATTAGAAATAAAAAGAAAATGGAGGAGAGAAAATGTAAAAATTTACCAAAACGACGTAGCTTTATTAAAAACGACATAACTTTGTGTCATTTAAAATGACAAACATTTTTCCCATAAATAAAACTACACCTGCCGAAAATGAGATGTATAAAGAGTCTACACTGTCTCCTCGAGTTAATTTTCTTTCTGATCGGATTTTAAATAGGATGGAACATATGTACTAAAAAAATAAAAAATAGGATGGAACATACGAATTGTACAATCACACTACTCAATGTGTATTCATTAAATATCTATTGATCAAACTAAAAATTGTCATGAACTCTAATATTCAAGTTATTTTCCGTCTGAAAAACATATGGATAATAAGTCAAATAATTGAGTTTATATTATAATCAATTCTCCATACAGTTTCGAACTCAGGGTGTTGATTAAGTGAAATTCTTTTCGAAGCATCAACGGTAGAATCCAAATTCTCAAATATTATAGATAACAGTTGCATGAGTTACGGTCAACTTTTATGGTGAACAATTATTATTGGATAATCAACAAGATTCAATTGCAATAGCGCACACACACACAAAAACTCGAATTCAATTTGTATTAAGAATTTTTCATTACGAAGAATTCACTAACCGGGATTGTTGTAATCCGTCCCAAATTGTTTTAGGAAAAATTGTTTGTCATTTTAAATGACATAAAATTATATCATTTTAAGAGAGATAGATACAAAAAATATTTTTTATTTAAAATTTAAATTAAAAAAAACCACTCACTTTCTCCTTCCATGATTTTCATTCCTCGTGTCTATCTCTCTCCTAAAATGACATAACTTATGTCATTTAAAATGACAAACACCAAACACTTTGTTTTATGCGGAAAAAAAGTGAACACCAATACCTAAATTAAATTACAAAAAATAAAAAGCTGAACAAATTGACATAAAAAGACGGGGAAGATATTGTAACAACCAATTAATGTTACTACTAGGGGTGTAAATAAACTAGGCTAGGGTAGGCTTTAGCTTAAATAGGTCAGGCCTATGTAAAAAAACATTGGGTCTGTTTTGTCTCATTAGCTTATGTAGGCCCCAAATTACAAGTCTGACCTGACCTATATTTAAAAAATAAAAGTCTTGGACTAGACCTGTTAGTCTGTATTAAATATTCAACAATTAAAAGAATAACTAAAATAATATTACTTTATTATTCAAAATTATTAAAATAATTATTTTATTTTATTTTATTTAAAATGAATAATATGATTTAGGTCGGCCTGTAGGCTTATAGGCCCTACATGTACAAACAAAGTCTATGGCCTATTTTCTAAATAGGCTTTTTGTTATAAAAAAAATAGGCTTTTTAAAAAGGCTAGGCCCGTCTATTTTACTACCAATCAATTTCACCGTTAGATCGATTATTTTGATCCAACGGTTATATTTATTTTCGTCTTTATGTAGGGAATCATAACCATACAAATGTGAAAATAAATATAAAATATTAAATATGGAGAATTATAACCATACAAATATGGAAATAAATATAATTGTTAGATCAACATAATCGATCTAACGGTAAATTGATTGGTAGTAACACTAATTGGTTGTTACAATATCCTTCCCCTAAAAATTTCACTAATTTTATTAGGGAAAAATATTTGTCCTTATAAAGGATATAATTTTGAGGGTAGGATATTGTAACAACCAATTAAGATTACTGTCAATGTTACTACCAATCAATTTCATCGTTAGATCGATTATGTTAATCCAATGATTATATTTATTTTCATCTTTGTATGGTTATTATTTTTTATATTTAATGTGAATAATTAAATATGAGAAATCATAACCATACAAAGGTGAAAATAAATATAAAGTATTAAATATGAGGAATCATAATCATACAAATATGGAGATAAATATAATCGTTGGATCCACATAATCGATCCAACGATGAAATTAATTGGTAGTAACCCTAATTAGTTGTTACAATATCCTTCCCCATAATTTTGTATCATTTTAAAAGAACAAATGTTTTTTTTTCCATTTTAAGTGAAAAAGGAGATACACAATTGAAAATTATGGGAGAAAAAGTGGGAGATTTTTTTATAAATTTAAATTTTAAATAAAATACACTAATCTATATATCTATTCTAAAGCAAAACCATTTGTTGGCAAATTTGATGACCTGTCAATTTTTCATGCATTATCCACTTTGTGTTCACACTACAAACAACTTAAATTTTTTCCACTTTTAGAAACAATTCGAATTTGAATTATCATTAGTTTTTAAAATTTTTCAGTGGCAGACAGTTGTATTAACGTCCCACTACTTCCTACATTGAAAATGTTAACCCTATTAATTGTTCCCGCTACTTTTTGCATGGATAATTGTTAATCATATTCATTGTTAGAAGCTTCAAAAAATAAATTTTTGAAATAAAAAATGAGTTTAATTTTTTTTTTAGTATGTAGTATATGTATAAATAGAATATGTGTTGCTGCATATTTTCCTTTGGTAATCACCTTTTGTACACATATTTGTTCTATTTATATATGTTTTTCTTCTTCATCTTCTCAAACTGTTCTTTTGCATAAGCTTACTCATTATTTATGTGTTTATAGTTTTCTATTTCATGTTTGTTGATCTTCCATGTTCATTGTTCTATACTTTATTTTGATATGAGAGCATTTGTTGAGCAAATAACATTGGAAGAAGATCCAAGCATGTCTACACTTTCTTATACTCCTCCTTTCAAATTTAAGATATATTTTGTGTTTATTACCTTTCGTTTTGGTTTGTACACTTTTGAGCTTGAGATTTAGATTTAAAATGGTGTTACTACAAGTTTCATATGTTTAGGTTAGCTTAATTTTGCAGGGATGATATATTGCTGGAAGGACTACAATAGGAACTGGAAGAATGTAAGAACAATGAAGTAAGTTATTTTGCCAACATTATGTTTAAAACTCTGTTATTGAAATGGATACAATATATTATGTTGTTGTGTTGCTTTGTTTTGTTTAAGTAGTTGCAAATATACTATGTAAAGGTACTAAAACTTAGAGATTATACAAAAGGAGTTGAGAACGATTTGCGCAAAGTTGAATTGGATTCAATTCAGGTTTGTGGTCAATTTGCTAAAAAATTTATTGGTCATTTTTTTATTGCCCTTTTTGTAAGTCATTTAATTCTCAAAATTTTACTTTGTCAGACAATTGAGATTGGAAAGGTTGTCAATCCTCTCTCAAAGCATGGATCAA